AGGAATCTGTGTCCCCATTAGGGAGATTCACCCTCTCGATTTGTCCTGGTGACCATTATCACTGAAAGTGAAAGAAAATCCTACATTTTGGGTTGTCACCAAACCAGGAATAGATGGGAAATCTTCCAATGGGGACCCTACTTCAGGGATTGCCCTCTCTTTGGAGGGATTTGCACTCACTTCCTGCTGTACTATCCGGACAGGAAGTAAAAGGAAATCTTCCTAATGAAGACACTAGTTCTGTTGACCACCAGGAATTTCCTCCCATTTCCTGTTGTGGCTGTTGGACCGGAAGTAAAGACACTAGTTCTGTTGACCACCAGGAATTTCCTCCCATTTCCTGTTGTGGCTGTTGGACCGGAAGTAAAGACACTAGTTCTGTTGACCACCAGGAATTTCCTCCCATTTCCTGTTGTGGCTGTTGGACCGGAAGTAAAGTGTGAAAATCCTCCAATGGGGACACTACTTCTGGTGACCGTGCTGACCACCGGGGATAGCCTTACTTTGGAGGGATTTCCTCTCACTTCCTGTTGTGTGTATCAGACAAGAAGTAAAGGGAATAGGGACACGAGTTCTGGTCACCCTGCTGACCACCAGGGATTCCCTTACTTTGGAGGGATTTCCTCTCACTTCCTGTTGTGGCTGTCAGACAGGAAGTAAAGAAAGGGTGTTATGGAGGGGCAGGAGAGATGGATATGTGGCCCTCACCTTTCTTGTCTCTCGGCAGGTAAATATGAGCACGGGCAGGTCAGACACGAGCTCGAAGCGGAAGAGGTCGACGCCTCAAAAGTTCAGAAGCCGAAAACTCTTTGCTTCTTCCAGACATGACATTTTAGAGGTAAGCCGCTGCCGTGTCCAGGACCCGTCCACACGCATGTTGAGTTGGTGTCTCTGACGGGTGATCGCAGTTTGCGTACCATAAACATCCGCCATCTTGTGTGGTAATGGCTGTGGGCGCAGAACCTGGGGAGGCTCACCTTAAGATTCCCGCCTTTACCATTGTGACCTGTTGATGTTTATATATTACTCGTAACCAGGGATGAGATTCCAGTCTGCGGCCATGTAGAGTTCAACCAGTTCGCAGTTTTCTGAACGGGTCTACTAAATGGCCGATTCACCCGCCCGCTGAACCTCCGGCCGCTGCACCTGGAAGACATCCATTTAGTGGTGCCTCTTAATGACAACTTTCAGTTTGTTAGTTGCTGGTGACCTCCTGTGTCCTAGCAACCCATGATGCTGTGTAGGCTGCTTGCCTGCATCCTAGCAACCAGTGACATCATTGGTTTCTAGGAACAAACGTAGAGTTTCCTTGTCGCACTCCTTACCGGAAAACCCCATGAGGGGGGGAGCTCGTTATGACTGTGGATGGCGCCGCCAGATAATGTAGGTGAATGGATGTCACCGGCACTCCAAGAGTATTGTAGTCCAAAGCATTCGTTTATTGAGCGTCATGTCATCAGAACTATGAAGTTTCAGTAAACGAATGCTATGGACTTCTAAGATGCTGGTGACATCCATTCACCATTATTGGTTTCCAGGACGCAGGCAGCCGGCCTGCACAGTCTGCCAGGATAAAGGCAGCCACCAGCATCCTAGCAACCAGTGACATCATTGGTTTCTAGGACACAGGCAGCCAGTCTGCCAGGATGAAGGCAGCCACCAGTATCCTAGCAACCAGTGACATCATTGGTTTCTAGGACACAGGCTGCCAGGATGAAGGCAGCCACCAGTATCCTAGCAACCAGTGACATCATTGGTTTCTAGGACACAGGCTGCCAGGATGAAGGCAGCCACCAGCATCCTAGCAACCAGTGACAATGTGCAAAAAAAGGGGGTCTCCCTTTAAAATCTAGATCGGACCCTTATGCTAGATAGGGGTCTAATATGGATTCTATTGGGGGGAACTCAGCGCAAAAAAAAAAGGTGTGGGGTTCCCCATAAAAATCAAACCGGACCTTTGTCCTTGTTGAGGATCTGCCGTGGATTTTAAAGCTAAACTCTGGGAATAAATTATTATGTATACTTGCATTGGTCCAGCTTGGCCCTGTGTAAGTATGCACATGCCGTACCTGGTGGGCCCCTTAGGGATCTTGTAAAGCACTTTAGTCCCTGGAGCTCACACAGTACATTATAGTGATCTTCCGGGTCCTGTATGCCGCTGTGCTGAGTGACTTCCTCTGCTGCGAAAACATAGCGGGGTCACTCGATTGGCACAGCGGCCATTCAGAGAACATCTACTATTTCTGTCAATGAAAACCAGCTGTTCTCTGATTGAACGATCCACCACTCGTCCAATCAGAGAGCTATTATTTTTATCAATGAATATATGGCGCTCTCTGATTGGACGTGAGTTGGTAATGTCGCAATCCACCCCTCATCCATTCAAGAGAACGCCATATATGAATTGATAAAAATGTCTGGAGTTTTTTGAATGGCCGCTGTGCCGAGTGAGTGGCCGCATTGTGTTTTCAGAGCAGAGAGGAAGTCGCTCAGCACAGTGGGGTACAGGCCCTCAAAGATCGCTGTAAAGTACTGTACTGGCTCCGGCTACTACAGTGCTTTACAGGATCCCCATGGGCCAACCAGGTACGGTATATCCATACTTTGGGCCAAGCTGGACCAATGTAATTATGCATGATAATTTTTAGGGATGCGCCGATACAGTTTTTTCGGTTACGCGTACCGATACTTTGCTTTTGGTACCCGCTGATACCGAGTACTGATAGCGGTGCTTCTGCTGGCATGGAGCAGGCTTCCCAGGCAATCAGGAAGTGGGGCGGTGGGTAATGACGTACCGCCCGCCTTCCTGATTGTCCAGCAAGCCGGCTCCATGTTGTTTGGCCGGCTTGATTGTGATTGGCCGGGAAACCGGCTTCCCAGCCAAACAGCATCAAGCCGGCTTCCTGGCCACTCAGGAAGCCCGGCGGCGAGTAATGACCTGCCTTCCGGCTTCCTGATTGGCTAGGAAGCCGGCACAATGCTAATTGGCTGGAAAGCCGGCTTCCCGGGCAATCAGCATGGAGCCGGCTTCCCTGCCAATCAGGGAGGCGGGTCATTACTCACCCTCACTCTGAACACTCCATGTTCCCCTACGGCAAGATTTCCTCTGACCAGAAGTTCCGGTATCGTGGAAGGTATCAGAGCATTTGGGCAAGTACGAGTACTCGGCCAAATACTCGGTATTGGCACAGATACCGATACTAGTATCGGTATCGGTGCATCTCAAATAATTTTATACCAGGAGTTCAGCTTTAAGGGGGACCTGACGCAAAATAGGGGTCCCTCCCAAAATCCATAGCAGACCCTGATCTCAGCACATTTGTATTCTTGCATGGGTTCCCCCTGTAAAATCCATACTAGACCCCCAATCTAGGATAAGGTGTCTCCTCGCCTTACAGGGTTCCATTGGGGACACCTTTGCATGCGCACTTCCACAGACACTACATACGCCTCCTCCTCTTCCTGTTTGCATCTATGGGGTGTAAAGCCGCTTCCCTACTCCTCCCTCCCCAAGTGAGTGATTGACAGCTCAGTTTGAGCCCGCCCTGTCTCTAGTTCAGGCTTGAAGTGACGTAGTCTGGGCGCACGCGGAACTTAGGGGAAGAAATGCTTTGGGACCCAGTGCCGCTGGTGCTGAAAAAACAGAATCAGAAGTATATTTGCACACAGAGGAACGGAAATATTTACTGGAGATTGATTTATGGACTCCATAGTAAGACTACTGTCTGCAAGGGCCCCGAGGGCCACACAGTAACTGCCAAATGGCCACATGCAGCCCTGGGCAGCAGGTTGGACACCAGGACCCCAAACAGTCCCGCTCATTGGTGTTGGTAGTCGTGTCTTGTTAATACCCTGTTTCCCCGAAAATAAGACCTGGTACTATTTTTGGGAATTGCTAAAAGATAAGACCTACCCCGAAAAAAAGACCTAGTTGTGACCATTCCCAGGGCCGGTGGTGGCATAAGGGGGAACTTAAAGAGCCGCGGGAGAGGCAGGAGAGAATCAGCGGTGCCAACAAAGCCAGCGCTAGAGGAAGCGAGGCGGCACCGGAGGTAGCAGAGCCGCATAAGCCGATGTTTCCTCTATAGCGCCGGCTCCTGTCACAGGCGGAGTGATACCAAATACACTCCGCCTGTGAGGAATCGATAGTGAAAGTGCGCTTCGCTTATTCTGGCCAGCGATTGGCTACCAAATTGCTCTTGGAAAGGTACGGCCCCCCTGATTGCCCTGATCACCATATTTTTGTACATGAATACGTGTAGACTTTTCTACATAAATAAGTGTGGATTGTACATGAAACAAATGTACCCCCCAAAATAAGACCTAGTGTGTTTTTTTTGAGCCAAAAAAAAATTTAAGACAGTGTCTTATTTTCGGGGAAACACGGTAATGGGGTGGCGGTTCCCTTATGAATAAAGAATTATTGTGACTTCAAATCACACAAACATGTTCCGCCATTATCAGGAAGTTAGTCAATAGCGATGATATAAAACCATTTCCTTTTAACCCTTGTGATACCAGCAGCCAGAGTACTCCCGGGCCAGAGATGGAGGAGCTCAAGAGGAGCAACTGAGCCTGTCCAAGCTCCCGGTGACCCTGCAGAACAAAGAGAACATGCCTGAGAAATGTCCCAACGGGTCGGTGACATCGGCCAGGGGGAGAGGACGGCCGAAAGGGAGCAAGAACAAGACCTTCCCCACCTTGCCTACGAAGGTGAGATCATGGAGAATGCCGCCATTCCTTCACTTGACCTGGGCAGCGTCTCGCCAGTGCAGGTCTACTTACCCCATGACATCTCCTGTTCCGGTAATTCTTTCTAAATAGGTGTACGCCGTCCGCGAGGGGAAGCCTCCTATGTACTCCTCCAACCCAGAGGATGACGATTATATTGAGTCTCCGAATACATCCATCACCCCACACAGAGGAAGAGGGAGACCGAGGGGCAGCACAAAGGTAGGACGCAGTAAGCCTATTGGGGTTGACGGGACAAGTCTAGGGTCAGCTCCTCAATGGGACACCAACAGGAAACTATCCAAAACGAAAATGTTTTAATGCAAGTCAGTGGACCTGCATAAGATGTGTTGACCTCAGCGGTCCTTAGACTGCTGGAGCTCAGGGAAGAATAGGCTGTGGGGACCGGTATGGCAGCCAAGAGGGACTGAGGATCAACTGCGACAAAATATGGTACCCCAAATTGTCGATAGGCAGCGCTTTAAACGCCCTTTTAGGTCAACAGTTTAGAGGTAACTGAATATTGGCCTGGAAATTTTTGCTCTGGCTCTGACTGGTGCAGGCAGTGATACCTAACATGTGTAGTGCGGTCTTTGATTTCGTACATAGGTGCACGCGACTCTTGTTTACGTACATAGGTGCACGCGACTCTTGGTAAGCACGCGGGGACCGGGACTTTCAATGTTCTTTTAATTTATTTTTAAATTGATTTTACTTAATTTAAAACAAAAAACATTTTACGTCATTGCAATCACTTAGGAGGGCTCACCAGCCCCCTATGTGATGGCACATTGGAGTTGACAGGTTCTGTTTATGATGACGTTAAGTATCTATTAGACTCCTAGTGTCACCTTTCCACTGCAAAGAAGCTGTTCAAGTGCAGATCGTGCTTAAATAGCTTCTTCCCTGTCTTCTCTATCTGGGGAATGACAGCTGAGTAACCAGAAGTGATGCAATCAGCATTGCTTCCGGCTTCATTCATCGGCGGGTGGAGATCGGTGAGAAGATGTTGACCGGTCTCTCTCCCCCTACCCGCAGACACCCGCGGGGGCAGCAGAGCCTGGAAGCAAGGCTGGGGTGTCAGAGGGGTGCTGTCCTTACCGGCCCCTTAAAAGCAACCGTTGGCTGTACACATCTAAATGGAGTCCTGGCGGCTGTAGTTTGTTTAAAGGGGCCCTCGTATGGCATACGTCGCTGGCAGCAAAAGGGTTAAGCGATGTGTAGCTCACTGATCGAGTTCACTCACCTGATGCTGCTTTGTAAATCTTTTCAGCTCTGTATTTTAATTAGAGGTTACGGCCCTGAAGGGGTTTCCATTATCTGGGATGTGTTCTGTCTTTCTAGGTAAAATCAATCGGTGATGATGCCCCAAAGAGATCCAGAGGGAGGCCGAAAGGAAGCAAAAATAAGAAGCCATCAAAGGCCACCCTACTGGTGAGAACAAGAATTACAATGTAAGATTAGGGCACCAGTGACCATGTGCAGCTTCTCAGCTTCTGCTTTCCATTTACTGATGAGGATTCATAAGGATAAGTATCTCTGCAGTAAATGCACATTTACACATGTTTTGTCCCTTTTAAATATGCTGCAAATCCAGAACAACATCTGTTTCATGTCACATAAATCCAGTGAGCTCCCAGCTTCCTGTTTGAGCTGACAACTCTGCTGCACTGACATAACAAGCAGCACCGTCAGCCCTGCCTTCCCCCACCCTTATGTTATGGATATAAGGAGAGGAGGAGGTGCTCTGTAGGACAGTAGAGAATAACTGGGCAAGGCTGACCACACTGCTTGGGATTTCGGTGCAGCAGAAAGTGTTGTCAGCCAAAAACAGTTCATTAGGAGCTAGCAGATCAGTAACTTTTTAATTTTTCAGTATTTTATATTAATTAATAATTATTAAATGTATTATTAATTCACCTTGCAGTGGGGCTACCCCAGCACTGCAATGGTTAAGTGTTTTGTGTCGAGGCTCTAAAATAAAAAACATGTACTCGCCTGATTCTCCGTCCCTTGGCGTCCTCACATCCAATGCAAGTCAATAGATGTGATGATGTCACAGATCCTCAGACAGCCAGAGCCTGGTAAAAAAGAGGCTGAGAGGGCCGATCTGGCAGCCAGGTGGGACAGAGGATCAGGTGAGTATATCTTTTTTTATTTTAGAACCTAGACCAAAAGCAGCAGTTAACCTGTGTTAGCTGAAGTCAGGCCCCATTCACACCTATATTTCAGGTGTGATTAGTGATTCCTGTGTCAGGAACTTGTGATTTCCTGCAGCAGGAATCCTAAGCTGCCGTTTACAAGTGGCAGCTGTCCAGTTAATGTTCGAGTGACAGCCGCTGCATTTGAACGCTGGCACTCTGCATGTAATCGTATGTAAAGTCCGTCTATATCTACTAGTCCATCAGACACTGACCTCTACATAGGGTGGCAGTGCTGCTATCCAAGTGTGGCTACGCTGCTGCCCCATAGATACAGTGGATGATTGAGCATAGCCACCCTACCATAGCAAGTGTGTTACTGGTTGAATCACCAGGTGAAAATAAAGGGGGGGGGGGAGGATAACTTATTTAGCCACCATGTTAAGGGACTAGTAAGCTGAAATATATTTTATAATAAGTTTACATTTGTTTGTGTTTAGGTTCTGATACACTTTAAAGGGATGAAACATGGAGAATGTATGTATTGCAGAAATGTACTCTATATGCCTCAGATATACTCTTTGCACATGACCGGTTTCTCTTACTCTCAATTCCAGGAGTTCCTCTTACATATGTTCTTATTACTATATAAGAAATAGCCAACACGGTCTAGTATTCTATAATTATGCTCATCGAGGTCATTCTGCAGCATCGGGGTTCACGGTGTTACAACCTCTAACTTTTCACATTGTTCTCTTCCTGCTCTGCAGAAGATGATCACAACAGGAAAGAATATAGGGAGGGGTAGACCTCGAAAAATCCCGCATGAAACTAACGAAGCAGGTGAAGCCCTGACGCCGAAACGGGGAAGAGGGAGACCAAAAGGAAGCCTGAATAAAGCAAAGTCAGCAAAAAGGGTGAGACGCTTTCCCCTTCATCTTCCTGTCTGTCTGCCCCCCCCTTCCCCCCCGGGTACCAGTACGTTCCACATCTTCCTTCTCCTTCTGTAGACCTTAGACAGCTGTTGTTCAATGCTTGTAAAATGGACAGGATTAGAAGACGTGGCCCATTCTTTCTACAGTATACTGTGGTTGAGGCGCTGCTGGTCTCAGATAAGTATATAGACCAGGGATGAACTGGTCACGGATGAGTATATACACCTGGGATGAACTGGTCACACATGAGTAGATACACCAGGGATGAACTGGTCACAAATAAGTATATACACCAGGGATGAACTGGTCACACATGAGTAGATACACCAGGGATGAACTGGTCACAAATAAGTATATAGAACAGGAATGAACTGGTCACAAATAAGTATATACATCAGGGATGAACTGGTCACAAATAAGTATATAGACCTGGGAGGAACTGGTCACAAATAAGTATATACACCAGGGATGAACTGGTCACAGATGAGTATATAGACCATGAATGAACTGGTCTCAGATGAGTATACAGTATAGACCAGGGATGAACTCGTCTCAGATGAGTATATACACCAGGGATGAACTGGTCACAAATGAATATATACACCAGGGATGAACTGGTCACAAATAAGTATATAGAACAGGAATGAACTGGTCACGGATAAGTATATACACCAGGGATGAACTGGTCACAGATGAGTATATAGACCTGGGATGAACTGGTCACGGATGAGTATATAGACCAGGGATGAACTGGTCACAGATGAGTATATACACCAGGGATGAACTGGTCACAGATGAGTATATAGACATGGGATGAACTGGTCACGGATGAGTATATAGACCAGTATGTGAATGGCCAGCTTTAGCCTTACCAAGCAATAATTTTATTCCTTCACTTTTTTTCAGCTATCTCTTGTGTCGGGGTCCCTGGAAGGTAAAAAGAGAGGACGTCCAAAGAAGATTATGTTGCACCACTCTACTTTATTGTCTTTAACCCCAAAAAGGCCAAGGGGGAGACCGAGGAAGAAAGGGAGCTTGGAAGCAGTGCCATCGAGTCAGGATTATCAAGAGGTAACCAATCAGATGCCGACACGCTGCTCTCATTACATACATGAGACCAAAAGTGAAGCCACGGGTCAAATGCTGAAGGCGAGATTTTTTAACTGTTTCTAGGTAGAGAGTTGGGAAATGATAGAACTAGTGTGCCTCTTACTATGAGTAGATGCCTTCAGGTTCTTTACTGGTGGAGTGTAGGAAGGTTTCCATTGTCTTGTAATGAGAAGCTTTGCTGCTGTAATATAAGTGTGCTGTGCTATTGGTCTATCACTGTGATGGATGACTCTAATATCCAGTAAGTTAAAGGAGAACTATAGGGGTCAGGGCCTTTTCCCATAGGTCTCCTTAGGGTAACAGGAGGACACAAACTAGCGTCCTCCCGTTACCCTAAGCTCAGTATACCGCGAGCTATAGCTCGCGGTATACTGAGACGCCACAGCCTGAGCGGACCCCGACATCGATGTCGAGATCCGCCCAGCTGCGTGAGTGACAGCTGGCTCTGCCTATCTAGAGGCAGAGCCAGCTGTACCCTCCCCCGTCCGTTCCGCCAGTCAGTGCTGGCGGATCGGAGCGGGGAGAACCCGGCCCCTCCCCTGTCACGGCAGAAAGCCGTGACAGGATTGAGAGGTGAGTGAACGCGGGTATCTGTTCGCTCACCTCCCGATCTACTGAGCCGACCTGTGACCGTCTCATTGTCACAGGTCGGCTAGAACTATGAGGTGAGTGGAAATCACTCATCTCATAGTTCTCCTTAAGTGGGAGCGAGCAAGGACAGCAATACCAGTTGATGTGTTTTGATTCAAAGGGTCTCTATGGCCAAAAACAAAAAAATGTACTTCTATATTGAACTTCTATCCCACTCATAATAACCATCCTGATCTAGAAGTGTGCAAACTTACTGAAGATGCCCATAGGATGTATTTCCTCAATGCACTGACACAATTTCACTCAGCCCTGTGAATATGAACTTCCTTGTGTCACCACTCTCATAGAGCCTGCCTTCTGAACTACAACTCAATGTCTGAACAATGTAACATTATCATTGCTTGCTGTAAGCAATGCATGATGGGAAATGTAGTCTTGAGAAATTTGAGATTGCATCACATCAAGCGGCAGGGAAAGAGACAAAAAGCACAGTGGGAACCCAGGAATTTGTTGGAAGTGATGGGCAGACGGAAGGCAGCGCTCCCTGCTCCCTACATAAAAGGGATTTTTTCAAGTAAGCTTTGATTGCATTATCAAAAACAATTCTAGTATGTATTCCGATTACAATGCTGATGGATAGTAAATGCTGGGACTTTAGAAAACCTTTAATGTCCTTAGTCATAGTACGTAGATAAAGTTACATGTGAATACATATTTTGGACATTGGACCTCCTGCTGCCTTCTGTCACCAAATCATATATAAAGAGTACCTGTTGTTTTAAAGACAGCAATAGGTTTTTAAAGAGGGATGGTGATGTTAGTAGATAATACTTTGTATTTTCAGCTGCAAAGGTGTTAGTGTCCTTTCTGATTTCTTCTAGTGAAGTGGACGTGATTAGAATCTCTCCAGTAAATATGTAACAATACAGTACAGTGAGGGAGAGATACAACCAAAGTCAGTGTATGCTGACCATACACCTTAAAGCAATGGTGGCGAACCTTGGCACTCCAGCTGTTTTGGAACTACAGGTCCCATGAGGCATTGCAAGGCTCTGACAGCCACAGACATAACTCCCAGAGGCAGATGCATGTTGGGATTTGTAGTTTTGCCACAGCTGGAGTGCCAAGGTTCGCCACCACTGCCTTAAAGTGACACTAAAATCAGGAATTAAACCTTAAAAATACCTTCAAGTCTCTTAACTATTAACAACAATGTATCTTATTTGTGTATCACTCGGTTGCATATCCTCAAATCATCTCTGAATTGGTGCTGACACTGTCCTTCCTTCTAGAGGGGGACTATTTCTGTTCGCTGTGTGTTGTAAAGTAGCCACGACTCCAAGCTCTCTGCCATGATGGACTAAACTCTCATGTTTAGTTTACTACTTTGTATTGAGATTGTAGTCCATCCCGGGAGTGAGCTTGGAGCGGTGACTACTTTACAACACACACAGGGACCATGGGGAACAGACATAGCCCCCCTCCAGAAGGAAGGACAGTGTCGGCACCAATTCAGAGATGATTGGAGGATCTACAGCCGAGTGATACACAAATAAGATACATTATTGTTAATAGTTGAGGTACCTGAATGCATTTGTAAGATTTATCTTCTGAGTTTAGTGTTACTTTAAGATTTCTCTTGTACATCCCCACTTGCCCATTCATGCTGAAGAGCGTGGATGGGGAATGTCCCCTGCCAGCCATTGTATTCTTCAAAGCATAAGAATATTTCAGAGGCGCTGAGAGAATTTCTTTGTTGTTCTTTTTGATAGCCCCAACTTTATCTGAGCCTGAATGAAGCTTTACTGGCTTATGGTTAGACAGCTCAATGACACTTGGCAGGGTTATTCACAAAATGGTGGAGTTTGGAGAAGGAAGGAGAAGTGAACAATCTAGGACCACATAGCTGAACTGGAAACATTCTCCAATTCAGCTCACTTTCCAGTTCCATCCTCTATGCTATCAAGGGCGCCGGCTGTCAGAATACCCGAACAGTCACTGCTCCTTCACCAATTTCCCACCTGACATTTTGAGAAATCGAATTTTGTCCAGCTGGGCAATGCCGGTGTTCTATCGAAAGCTCCAACTTATCGAGTTCTCCAGTATTAATATGGCCGCCGTTTGAGTGGGACACCTGAGAATAATAACGTGCTGGATTAGTGTGATCCTACTTCATTTTAATACTTCATTGCTGTGGTGTATAGGGCAATGCGGCGGCTGGCGCTCGTGCAGAAGAGCTTTCTTGCCCAAGTCTCTTAGTTCTAACTAAACCGGAAGTCAGGCAGTTGGAGAACTCGAGGAGTTGGAGCTTTCGGTAGCACACCGGCAAGGCCACCCACGGATCGACTTTCCACCAATTCAGCAGTAAACATCCGAAATTCAATCCGCGTTTGGCCACCTTTATCCTTACCGAGCAATAACTTCTATAATCCTGTTTTCTTTTTCAGTTAGCTCCTTTGTCGGAGTCCTTGGAAGTTAAAAAGCGAGGGCGCCCAAAGAAGATTATATTACATCACTTTGCTTTAAAGTCTTTAACCCCAAAAAGGCCAAGAGGGAGACCGAGGAAGAAAGGGAGCTTTGAATCAGTACCGAGTCCAGATCATCATGAGGATCATCATGAGGTAACCAATCAGATGTCTTCATGCTGTGCACATGACTCGCATGAGACCAAAAATCGAAAACTGATGCCAAGAGTTTGTTTTTGGATCGAGCGGGGAAAGGTCAGAGCCCGTCAGGATTTTAGTGTTCACACTATACTTGTTGAGGAGATTTCCCCTTACCTGATCTAATAATGACCACACAGGATGTAAGTGAAAATCTCCTCACCAAGGATGGAGAGAGAGCACTAAAACCATGATGGGGGTTATAATCCTCCCCCCACTCTGCGGGGGGAAAAAAGTTATTTTATTGATATGTCTACATTGGAGATCTTCTCTTCCTTTTTGTGACTATCCTGGAAGTGGGAATAATGAAGTACTTCCTGCGACATTTATATTTTTGAATGACTATATATACCTTTTTCTTGATGTCTTCGGGCCAGTCACATAGTGACGTGACTACCGTTCCCTTCATTATCCTCCTGTGGGCCTAGGCTGGCGTGATGACATCCTCACACGTTGGGGGTTGTGTCAGTGACTACATGAGAAAATAAATGGATGTCACTGATGAAGGGGACCCTGCTTGGCCCCGAAAGCACTCGTTTTGGTGACATGCCGTTCCAATAAACAAACACTTTGGACTGCATTGTTGGTGTGCTGGTGGCGTCCATTTATTTTGTACTGTTTGGCGGCGCCATCGGCAGTCACTGCGAGCACCCCCCCTCATCTCATTTGGGGTTTTCCCGGTAAGGAGTGCGACAAGGTATCTTTATGTTTGTTCCAGTGACTACATGGGGTCACAGGAAGTATGTTGAATGATGTTAGGTGTCATTCAATCTGGAAGAGGACCAGCAGCAATGGACAGAGAGGAAAGTCTGCATGGGGACAGTGCTGGAGACAAGGTGAGTATTACAAAGAGAACTACATTATAAAATTTTAAACACCTTAAAAAAAAAAATTAAGTGCCTTTTAAAGCAGAACTCTGGGCAAAATGGCTATTAACCCTTGCATTGGGGCTACCCCTGAAGTGCAAGGGTTAGGTGCTCGTTGGTGTCTAGTTGTAAAAAAAAGAAGTTATACTTGCCCAATGTTTTGAGCCGGCGGATTCTTAGACCGGTCCGTCCAGTCTCACTCCTGTCTTCTGCACTGCACTTAGGATCCTTGAGTCATCACGTTCTATACACAGTGTATAGGATGCGAGGATGCCGAGGGACATGCCGTCGCTGCAGCAGAGGAGAAGACGGGCTTCAGGGACCCGAGTAGCTGACAGCCAGCTCCAGCGTTCAGGTGAGTATTGGAGGGTTTTCCTTCTGTGCCTGTTCTGGAGACAAGTCATTGTTCTGGACTTCCCCACATTTCCATTCTCGATGACAGTGGATAATGGGGAGCAGTAGAGAGAGTGAATCTCCCCTGTGGGGTAACACAAGCAGGAAAGAATAAGAGAGGTTCTAACCCTTCCAATATAAAACTAAAATCAAGTTTGGCTTTTAGATGCACTTTAACCTGTCCCTGTTATTTTCTCTGTTTCCTTTTTATTTTTGTATTTTTAAAACCAAAGAACGTAAAGAATATGTGAACTGACACGTCTGAAAATGTTCGGTATTTGCCATTTGGAATAAAGTTTTTTGCCGTTTGAATTTTGCAGTTAAAAAGTTCGGAATCCAACACAGAGGATGAAGATGATGTGGACAGTGAGGAAGACGATGGCGACGATGATGATGATGACGATGATGACAAATAAGTGTGTGACCATGACAGAAAACTGGTAAGGATTTTTAGGAAATGGCTTCCATCCTTTTTAAGCTTTGTATTATCTAAAGGACTTAATATATTTATGATTGAACTTTCACCTTCTCACATTTTCTACTCATGACACATAGGGACTGATTTGTAACGCGTTCACTCAGTATATAGCTGTGTAAACTATATTTGCATCATGTTTCTGCCACTAGATGGAGCTGAGGAGCATAGGAATTTCCTTTTACTTCTCAGCTCCTTCTGGTGGCAGTAATGTGCTGGGACAGTCGTTCGCACAGCTATATACTGGGCGAATGCCTTAGAAATCACTCCCTAAGACTGTGTGTTTTTCAGTAACCAAAGTCAAACTTCAGTTTTGTTGAGGGAAAAAAAGTTCTCTCCAGGACAGCTTTATATTGTCTGGATTTTAACCACTTCCGGACTGGTGTGTGTGTGTGTGTGTATATGTATATATGAGCAGGGCGAAGCCAGTGGAAACTCTGGTGGAGGTCCGCAGCGGTCCTGACGTGCAAATCAGTCGTCCGACCTGGGTATAGGGGCGAAAGACTAATCAAACCATCTAGTAGCTGGTTCCCTCCGAAGTTCCCCTCAGGATAGCTGGCGCTCGGGCCTTCTGAGTTTTATCCTATAAAGCGAATGATTAGAGGTCTTGGGGCTGAAATTAGGGATGCACAGATACTAGTATCGGTATCGGTGCCGATACCGAGTATTTGGGCAAGTACTCATACTTTCCCAAATGCCCAGGTACCTTCTCCGATACCGGAACTTCCGGTCAGAGGGAGATCTACCCCTGACCGGCAGTGCCGACGGAGCATGGAGCCGGCTTCCTTTCCAACTAGGAAGCTGGGCAGTGGGTTATGGCCCGCCTTCCGGCTTCCTGATTGGCTAGGAAGCTGGCTTCACTTCTTAGGCAGCCTGGCTTCCAACCAATCAGGTAGCACGTCATGACCCTCCTCCCAGCTTCCTGACTGGTAAGGAAGCCAGGGTGCCTAGCAACAAGTGAAATTGGCTTCCTAGCCAACCGGTGAGGTGGGTCATGACCCGCTGCCCGGCTTCCTGATTTGTCAGGAAGCCAGGCAGCCTCTGGAAGTGTTCAATTGCCTGTATTGGAGGGCAGGTGAGACATCAGGGGTCTAATATGAAATACCCTTCAAGTAGTGCCAAAGTTATTGACGAATAAATCGGCCCATAACAGAAACGTAAAAATTGCTCTGGTTTATGGAAGGTGTTCAGGTGTGAGAGATGAAATGATGAATTACCTTTTCTTTCCCGTTTGCTTTAGATCACAGATTGACCCTAAACTGATGCCAACACTAACCGTCATGTTGTTTGCTTCTCTGCAGGAACCCCTCTGATGACCAGCCCACAGCAGAGTGAATCTAGAGCTGAAACAACTTGTCCAAAGAGACAGCTTTTTTTGTATTAGCGGGGCAGTGTAAAATGATGTACATTTCCATGTGTAGTGACGTTTTTACAGTTGTGCGATTTTTCCAGCTGCCGGTTTCGGAATTTTTTCTTTTTTTTTTTTTTTCTTTTCTTTTTTTGTATGTTAGCCAAGCTTAAGCGTAACGACCTGCGGGAGAAAAAAAACAAAACAAACAATATTTTTACAATGTGAATTGTAACGAGGCAGACATTTACATGTTACCTGTTAGCATCAATTAGCCTTAATGTAGTCGGGATGTTTTTTTTCTATTAAGTGATAATCAAGCTCACCATACAAGATGGCTTTGAATTCAGTTTTGTTGTAGGGACAAAAAGGGTTAATTTACAGATGGGAAGATGCTAAGAGGCAGAGAAGGAATAGGGCAGAATGGGGCTCTAGGCAGGGTAGCAGCTTTGCCTTCCTCCATCCCCACCCTCCCTATGATTGACATTGATAAGGATTGCAATAGGCACAGATAAGTGGATCCATCTGCATTGCCCACTCAATCAGACACAAACAGCCTGCAAGCACATCGTCCCTTGGGGTGTGATGGCAGGTGCAAAGCTTTGACTAATTGTGTGCTTGCTTATTTTACTGAAGGGTATGCACCATAGGCAGCCATCCCTACCCATTTCCCCTATGATTGACTTTCATAAGGATTGCAATAGGTACAGATAAGTGGATCCATCTGCATTGCCCACTCAATCAGACACAAACAGCCTGCAAGCGCATTTTCCCTTGTGGTGTGATGGCAGGTGCACAGCTTTGACCACCTTGCTTATTTTACTGAAGGGTATGCACCCTGGCCATCCATTGGGCCCTGAGCTTCTCTCTACAAGCTACCTTGTAAATGATCTGGCTTTACTAAGTCAAAAAACTCAGTTTACCCTATTGTGTGCATTCACCATGATTCTCATGTTTCTTGGTGGGACTGTACCACCTTGTCATATGTTTCTGTGCTTTGCAACCTCCCTTTTATGCTCAAGTGTGTTGGTGAGCTTTCAGTGAACTGGCAGAGGGGGTGCTGCTAGGAACACACTGGGCTGCATTTTTCCCAAACTTAAATGCAGAAAAAAACCTCATAATACAAAGAACTTTAGATATCAAGGTAGCTAGTTACACAGGATGAAAATTAGAATCATCTCAGCAGTTATGCTGAATCAGTATAAATTGCCATATTTGTTTCTGACGGGGGTGAGCCTTTAATTTTGCACCACTGCATCTGCCCTAATTTACATATGTCTCTCCATGTAATAATATACCACTGACTGGCAGATAGGTATGCGAGGCAGACTATAGGCCAGTCAAAGTTGCCATAGACTAGCGTTGAGCAACCCTTTCCCCAGCAGCTTGTGAGGAAGTCCCATCTCCAAGTCTGCTTCATTCCCAGTTCCAATGGCTGTTTGGACATACAATATATGGCCAAAATTTTTTGGGCACCTGACAACCACCCCATTTTGAGCATGTTGGACATCCCATTCCAAAACCATGGTCATTTTTATTGAGTTGGCCCTCAACAGCCTCTATTCTTCTCGGAAGGCTTAGATTCCAGAGAGTGTCTGTGGGATTCTGTCTCCATTCAGCCATTTGTAAGGTCCGGTCCTGATGTTGGATGAGAAGACCTGGCTCACAGTTGGCATTCCTATCCATCCCAAAGGTGATCCGTAGGGTTGTGGTCAAGTTTCTGTGATGGTCACTTGAGTTCCTCCACGCCATCAGACCATGACTTTATGGAGCTGGCTTTGTACATGGGCCACAGTCATTGAGGAACAGAAAAGGGTCTTCACCAAAGTGTCACCACAAGGTTGGAAGTTCCCAATAGTCTGCGCAAAGGTGGGCAACTCCGGCCCTCCAGCTGTTGCAGAACTAAGAGTCCCATGAGGTTTTGCAAAACTGACCGTTACAGGTATGATTCCCAGAGGCATGTAGGGATTTGTATTTGAAGCACAGCTGGAGGGCTGGAGTCGTCTACTCCTGGTTTTGTATAACGTACTGTCATCAGTACCATTGACTGGAAACCTATGAAATGAAAATTTTGGAGGAAAGTCCCCATAACGTTGGCCAGATAGTACAGTTCTGATAGCTAGAACTTTGCTCAACACTCCATTTAGATAGATGTTAAGCAAACTACAGAGCAGGGATCGGCGGCAGTAACCTCTGCATTTAGAACTTCTCTGTTATGAGCAAACATGGCTGCCCTGACAATACATGTTCTGGTTCCATTAGCCCGGTACGATGAATGGATGAGAATCAGGCAGTATAATTGTTACCTGGCTAGCAATAACAAGCGCCGCTTTAGCATGGAAGACCTCATTTTTGCACCCAAAAATTTCCAGACTCGCTGGACGCGGCGCACTGACGATCGCAGCACACGCCAGCGGGTTGGAGAGCCAATTTGTGTCACCGCGCGTTACTCTGGGTAAAACATCTGCACATCTATGTTCAGACTTCAAGAATGCTCTGCTTACTATTCTCCTTTTGTCAATGGCCCTCCACTGTCATGAAAACTTGTTTTTTTTTTTTTGTTTTTTTTTTTGTTGCTTTTAGATATAGTGTGGTGTTATGTAATCAGTTTTACAAAATAAAATGTTGACTTAATTTTTTTCCCTCTCTATCTCTGCTTCTTTTGATGGATACCTGTACTGATCGTGTAATCTGTGAAGGCTTGTTCACACCAAGCGCGGAGCAGATCCAGAGCAGAGCAGGTGCAGACCGGATCAAAACTGCGTCCAATGTATTTCAATGGTGTTTTTTGCTCCAGTTCACATCGCAGCGTGCAGTTGCAGAGCAGATCCAGAGCAGGTGAAAAAACTGCAGCAGGCCCTATTTTAACTGCTCTGGAATGCATCAAAAATGCATGCCAATGCCTGGAACACACTGAAAGCCCATTTTAATCTTAAAAAAATATATATTATTATTTTTTTTAACCAAAAAGAGCCCGGAACGCGTCAAAAACGCGTCTAAAAGACTAGCGTGCGTGTGCAGAAACCTGACCGGATCTGCTCTGCATTTGGTGTGAACAAGGCCTAAGGGGTGATGAATACCTGGAAGTTTACACAGCACTCGGCATGCATGTACTTCACATGAACTATATGACCTACTGAAGGTCCGCTTCATACAAGCAGTGGGCTGGCTCTTGGGAGGAATTATGCAAATATTAAAATGCCTTTATGGGTGGGTGTCAGTCTGGAGGAGTGGGCAGGTTGTATTTGCATGCAGACCACCCTAGGTAATGGCCACATGTGAAGCTGAGCCTCCATGATTGAAAGCACTGAAATCCATGAAATGAAAGGGGTGGGCCAGGCCGGGGAGGAAAGGATAGAAACAAATTTTTAGTCTTTGCACGTGTGTGTGTTTTTGTTTTACTGTTGGGGGGGCTTTGGGGAAATATCGGGGGTCTAAACAGAGAGAGGAGCCGGTACAACTGTGCAAAACTGAAGGAAAGGAGGTCAGATAGAAGACTGAAGGGAAAGCCGGAGATCAGATAGATGACTGAAGGAAAAGCCGGAGGTCAGATAGAAGACTGAAGGAAAAGCCGGAGGTCAGATAGAAGACTGAAGGGGAGGCTGGAAGTCAGATAGAAGACTGAAGGGGAGGACGGAAGTCAGATAGAAGACTGAAGGGGAGGACGGAGGTCAGATAGAAGACTGAAGGGAAGGCCGGAGATCAGATAGAAGACTGAAGGGAAGGCCGGAGGTCAGATAGAAGACTGAAGGGGAGGACGGAGGTCCGATAGAGGGAAGGCCGGAGGTCAGATAGAAGACTGAAGGGGAGGACGGAGGTCAGATAGAAGACTGAAGGGAAGGCCGGAGATCAGATAGAAGACTGAAGGGAAGGCCGGAGGTCAGATAGAAGACTGAAGGGGAGGACGGAGGTCAGATAGAAGACTGAAGGGAAGGCCGGAGGTCAGATAGAAGACTGAAGGGAAGGCCGGAGGTCCGCTTAGGTTTAGAAAACTCAGCAGGTAAACTTTACATCAAATGTATGGATGTTAATATGAAATAGAATGTAGATTATATTGACTGCTATTGGGAGATATGGGAATGTAGATGAGCCCCCTAAAGGTCAACGGGGATTTACTGCACAAGCACGGCCAAGAAGAGACAACGGAGGCCGGGCCCATCAAAATTTGGTAGGTCTTAATTTCTGCACGGGAAGGGAGCAGTGACATCCATTTAAAAGATTAGTAAACTTTGTTTTAAAGTGAAGTTATCCTTTAAAGAAGAACGCAAAGAAAACACATTTTATCAACCCTTGGCGTGGGGTAACCCCCGCACTTCAAGGGTTAAGTGCCTGTTTTTGCCTAGGGTAAAAGAAAAAAAAAGTTATACTCACCCGATCCTCTGAGTGAGCTTGCTCTTTGATTGGTTCCTGAAGCCTCTCTTCCCCTCCACTGCAGTGGCCTCTATTAGTTCCCCAATTTTCCAGCCAGAGTTTAGGTCGACCTCATGGTCCATCCGATCTCATCCCTACCTATGACCCATGTGCGATATAGTAAACTAACATGCAAAGTTTGGTTCTGCTTCAGCATATATTTAGTCATAACTTTTTTTTCAGTTTTGGGTAGAGCAGGAAATTATTTATAGGTGTCCCATTGCAGAGATTCCCTTTCATTTTCTGTTCTGCAGACACAACAGGAAGTGAGGAGAAATGTCTGCTTAGTAGTCACCAGGCCATGTGTCCCGATTGAAAATTTCCCCTCACTCCTGTTCTGGTGACCTTTAAACTGTTTGGATCTCCCATCACTTTCTGTCCCAGTGATAAAAGTCACCAATACAAATAGAGGGGTGAGTTTCCTGAATGGGGACAGCACAGCAATAAACATATAACAAAGGTTCCAACACTTTAAATCTCTGTCTTTAATAGCTTTAATATTGGATTTTTCAAACAGAAGGAGGGAAAAAAAACACATTTTAGACACACCTACTCTCTCATGGTCTCTCCTACTCACAATAAAAAAAGCCCTCTAATAGACAAATCAGGCGCCATTTTTCCGAAGTCCGCGTTACCACGGATCCCAACCACAGCTGCCCTCACCAAAATGGCTGCTGCAGCGGTGGGCAAAAAAAACTAGGAGAGAGTTTCTAACAAACGTCCGCCTCTTCCGCTTGCGACGTTCCCGTTTCTGATTGGCTAGATTCGCCTGCCTGTCCAGCCTTGTTTTTAAAAACTGGCCACTAGTGCCGCGAAAGACGTCGGAGCTGCGACCTGATTGGCGGCGGTCGTGGGCGGGGCTTCGCTCTCGCTAGCCGCCGCCTTGTTTGAATTTGAACAGAAAGGAGGTTGGATAGATAACGAGTCGGAGCGGAGGAGGTAAGTACCGGACGGCGCGGTGTACGGGAGCGGTACCGGGTTTAGGGAGGCGGTCGGCACACTCTGCTCTGGCATTGCTGCACGGTTTAGCGATCTCCTATCTTATATGGGGATTTATATATCGCCATCAGCCGTGGTGCCGTACAGAGTGTTGCACAGTGTTTCCAGGGTGAAGTCCATGTGATTGCATGTAAACAAACGGCATTACTAAATCACAATAGGGTAGAGAGTCTTGCCTACAGGAGCCTGCGATCTAGTTGGTCGCCTCTTAACCCTTTTGTTGCCAGTTCCATTTTTTTTGCACACATTCCAGTGCCCATTTGTGGCCTGAAGATTGCCTAGAGGGGCCTATAGAATAAAATGATGGTGATTGCCTAGGGGGTCTATAGAATAAAATGATGGTGATTGCCTAGGGGGGTCTATAGAATAAAATGATGGTGATTGCCTAGGGGGGTCTATAGGACAAAATGATGGTGATTGCCTAGAGGGGTAATGATGGTGATTTTATGCTGTAGTGAGACTGGGTATGACGTGTGTTTACAATAAAAAATCAACTCAAATTTTAGTATTAACAGTTTATTTTTTTGATAGAAATATAAAAATTGATGTGTCCCATAAATGGATACAAATATGTTAAACCTGAAGGCTGCCTGTGTCCAAAAATTGGTGAGAAACCTTGGCCCCTTTAATTGTGCCCAGGCTATGCTTTAACCACTTGCTGACCGAGGTGTTTATACCCCCTTCCTGTCCCGGCCATTTTTCAGTATTCAGCGCTGCGGTACTTTGACGTTTACTCCGTCATGCAACGCTGTACTGAAATTAATTTTATACAATTTTTTTGGGGACAGCTAGAGCTTTCTTTTGGTGTTATTTAATCACCACTACAGGGTTTTTTTTTTTTACTGTATGATGAAAAAAGTACCGAACTTTTTGGAGAAAAAAACAAACTTCTCCCTACTTTATGCCCCCCAAATGAGACCAGGAAGATGTGCACTTTTACCTACACGTTTGCACGGATTAAAACCTGGAAGCCAATCACGCAGCATGCATGGCTCAAAATTTGCTATGAGCTTTTTCCTCCTGCATTGTCATGTGTTCAGGACCCCATTGATCACAATGAGGAAGCGCTGCAAACACAGCGCACGTACACACACGTGCGTGTAATGTGCGTTCCCAGAACGCCATGGTGTAAATGCGGCCTCACAGCTCACTACAATCAGATTTGATATCACAGCGAATGACGGGCCTGTCATTGTTCCTCTCACTGGAGTGCGCAGAAGTATGTAATATATGTTGCGCAGTTGTCTCTTTTACCTTATTTTTTTTCCTAATGCAGAACTCTGGTTAAAAAAAAAATAGTTGACCCTTCCTTGGAATGGGGGCAACCCCTGCACTGCAAGGGTTAAGTGCCTGTTTTTGTCTAGGGTATTAAAAAAAGTGTTATACTCGCCTGATCCTCGTAGCCGGCCCTAGGCAAAAAGGAACACTTAAAAGAGAACTCTAACCTATTCATCCCATAGTTCTCTATAGGGTCACAGGAGGACATATACTAACCACCTCCCCTGACCCAAAGCTCAGTATATAGGGAGCTATTGCCTGTGATATACTGAGACCGTCGCAGCCGGGACGAATCCTGACAATAGTATTGAGATCCACCCAGTTGCGTGAATGACAGCTGGCTCGGCCCATCTAGAGGCAGAGCCAGCTGTGCCCAGCCCCTCCCTGTCCATTCCTCCACTCTGCGCTGGAGGATCGGAGAGGGGTGGGGGGGATTTCCTGCGGCAAGCCGTGACTGAAAGTCACCACTCTCTGCAGGGAAGTGAGCGCGGGACTGTATGTGTTCGCTCCCTTCCGGATCTATAGCGGCGACCTGTGACAGTTGAATTGTCACGTTACATAGTTACATAGTATTTGAGGTTGAATAAAGACATTAGTCCATCAAGTCCAACCTATTAGGATCTCATTCTAGGAGTACCCGTACCCCTGTATATTACGGTCCCTTAAGAAATCGTCCAAAAGTTTCTTGAACAATTCCACATTATTTGCTGAAATCACCGCCTGTGGCAGTGAGTTCCAGACCCTAACTGATCTTACTGTGAAGAACCCCCTTCGCACCTTGTGCTGGAATTTTTTTTCCACCAATTTTAGGTTATGGCCTCTAGTTTTTGTAACGGAGTTAATTTTAAACAGTTTATCGCTAATGTTGCTACCACCATTAAACATTTTGTACATGGAAATCATATCCCCCCT